GCAGAAGAAAAAACCTCACTCTTATTCTTGAAGCTTATAAAAAACCGTGGATCGCCTGATCGAATATTTAATTCCATTTTTTAAAACATTGTTTTTAAAACAACAAATAAAAGGACCGACAGTGTCGAATTTTTGAATTGAATTTAAAAGTGTTTAATTTGCAGTCAACAAAGCGTATGTATCGTCTGAATACTCGTCGTGTTGTTGTAGTTGCAAATTTATATTGTTGTCCGTCTGGTTCAACAATAATCTTAGATTCTAAAACTACTCAGTAGATTTAGAATCACTACAAGTCCTTTCAACTGCATCGGAACTTGTACACATATCAATTCCATTTTTCATGAGTTTATTATTTTTATTTACATTTTCCCAAACTCGAATTGAAAAGGAAACACTGTTTAGCTAGAGGGTGGTTGTTTTCCTTGAAATGCCTATAACTCCGGTTTGGGGAAGTGAGTAAGTATGTATGTGTGTGTGTGCCATAGAAATTGTCTCTTCTATTTTTGTTTGGTGGTTTGCGGAAACGAAACGGAGTCAATGTTTTGAACTTTAAGCCAAAAAAAAAAGAAGGAAGAGGACGACGAAAAACTGGGGGAAACAAAATAAACAAATACAACAAAAGTGTAATGTAAGTATCATTGGAATGTGTGTATGTTGTGTGTGTGTTTTTTGTGGAGTTTGCTATAATACAAAGTAATATCGAAAATTGTATAAGGCTGTGGTTATTGATTTTTCTTATTTTTTGAATTTTTGATTTTGTCACACGAAAATAAATTTCTATTCTTTTATAAATATGCACGTTTTATTGCATATGTTTACACATAAGCACATACATACATATGTATTTGGCACATATTTCTTTTTTTGGTTGATATTAATTTTAGCTTTGCTTATTTTTATAAATGAGGAACAATTTATTATTTTTGTTATTCTTTTTTTCTTCTATTGCTGGCACTTTGCTTACATTTTCACCGAATTTTCTAATTTGGCCCTATCATTGGGGTATTTTTTTTTTCTTTTGGAGAAGAAGACCTTCACAATGGCATTTTGTCATATTTTTTCCTTAAACATTGTATTGTTGTTTTAGTTATAGGAGATTATTTTTTCTAATTTTTTGTCACATCTGTATTTTTCTTTTTTGTTTTTTTTTATTTTACAACTATTCTATTTTATTATTATTTTTCACTGACTCGTTCCGTTTTTGTTTTATTTTTTAATTTTTTTCTTTTGTTATTGTGCGTTTTCATCAGCACCTGCCATGTGTTTGGCTTCACGTTTTCACTCGCAATGAATTTTTTTTGGGGAAACATTTTTCATATCAACACGAAACGGAATCTCTCATTTATTGTGTGTTATTGCAGCCAACATACATTTTCCCCAGTAGATTTCAAATATCTGTTGGCTCTCTGGGTTTCTCTCGCATGTGCTATGTTTCTCTTGGCGCTCTTCTATTCTCTGTTTGGGCTCCCCCCATTTCACACAGCCACCCACCCACTCACTCACCTACCCCATAATACGAAGCAATTGTGCAAAAAATAAAGGAGTGGGGCATTGTTTGGCTTTCACTCAGCATAGTGCATGCCATTCGAACCACTTTTAATATTTGTGTGCGTTCTTGTGTGAGTGTTTCAGAATTTTTGTGGTTATTGTTAGTTTTTTTTTCGAAATAACAAATATATTTTAGTGAACAATTTCGTATTCTATGCACAATAGAACAGATATGAACAATACCAGGGTTGCCAATTCTACGGAAAATTAGATTTGTATACCTTCCACTATAATGTGGAAAGAACATAGGACCATATTTCAACACAGCCTTTCCAAACGAAGGGACTGTAATTTAGAAATACGATTTCTTCGCGCAGGAAAAATCTTAATATAGCCCAATTTTCGTAATTTTTTGTGCGCATTTCCTAAAAGTCTTGTTATAGAAGGCTAGAAGGTATTCTCATAAATGAGCAGAAGCTCATCATATAAATGACCAGATTACCACGAAATTATCATATACAAAACCAGAAGGTATTCTTATAGAAGACCAGAAGATAGAAGACCAGAGAGTCTCCTTATAGAAGACCAGAGAGTCTTCTTATAGAATACCAGAAGGTCTTCTTAAAAAAGACCAGAAGATCTTCTTATAGAATACCAGAAGGTCTTCTTATAGAAGACCAGAAGGTCTTCTTATAGAAGACCAGAAGGTCTTCTTAAAGAAGACCAGAAGGTCTTCTTAAAGAAGACCAGAAGGTCTTCTTAAAGAAGACCAGAAGGTCTTCTTATAGAAGACCAGAAGGACTTCTTATAGAAGACCAGAAGGTCTTTTTATAGAAGACCAGAAGGTCTTCTTATAGAAGACCAGAAGGTCTTCTTATAGAAGACCAGAAGGTCTTCTTATAGAAGACCATAAGGTCTTCTTACAGAAGACCAGAAGGTCTTCTTATAGAAGACCAGAAGGTCTCCTTATAGAAGACCAGAAGGTCTTCTTATAGAAGACCATAAGGTCTTCTTATAGAAGAACAGAAGGTCTTCTTATAGAAGACCAGAAGGTCTTCTTATAGAAGACCAGAAGGTCTTCTTATAGAAGACCAGAAGGTCTTCTTATAGAAGACCAGAAGGCCTTCTTATAGAAGATCAGAAGATCTTCTTATAGAAGACCAGAAGGTCTTCTTATAGAAGACCAGAAGGTCTTTTTATAGAAGACCAGAAGGTCTTCTTATAGAAGACCAGAAGGCCTTCTTATAGAAGACCAGAAGGTCTTCTTATAGAAGACCAGAAGGTCTTCTTATAGAAGACCAGAAGATCTTCTTATAGAAGACCAGAAGGTCTTCTTTTAGAAGACCAGAAGGTCTTCATATAGAAGACCAGAAGGCCATCTTATAGAAGACCAGAAGGTCTTCTTATAGAAGACCAGAAGGTCTTCTTATAGAAGACCAGAAGGTCTTCTTATAGAAGACCAGAAGGTCTTCTTATAGAAGACCAGAAGTTCTTCTTATAGAAGACCAGAAAGTCTTATTATGAAAGATCAGTATTTCTTATAAAATGCCGGTTTCATGTTGAATAAAAAAATCTTGCCTCTCTCATGTTGAATAAAAAAATCTTGCCTCTCTCATAGAAGTCCTGCTCTCTATTTGCAAAAAACTCTAGTATGCGATTTTCACAATCCTCCCTAGATACCATTTTTTACCATTAAAGAAATTTTGCAATGCAAGAAAAAGGTGATAATCGATTGGTGCCAATTCCGGATTGTATGGCGGATGTTTTAAAACTTCCCAACTTAGCTCCCGAAGTTTCTGGCGAGTCACTGTAGATGTGTGTGGCCTAGCGTTGTCATGGTGGAACACAAAATAATAGATTACTTTTTCCCCAACCTAATATTTTGATGTTCTTTAACGGATTCTCCAATCGAAGTGAATGTAATTTGACTTCTTCGGAGTAACATTTGCCAACCAAAAAAAAAAAAGCAGGAATTTTGTATTCCGAATTTTTGGTGGACAAAAAACTTCTACATAACTTCAATATAGGTCCAAGTTTTAAAATATAGATGTCCTATACATTTTTCGGTGTGCTGAAGTTTTTAGCCAAGCTGTTCAAGTTGAAAGGTGTAAAGGTAAAAAATTTCTTTGTAACATCATTATAGGTCCATGTTTTGATATATAAAGGCCCAAGTCCATTTTATGGTATCTTGAAGGTCCATGAAGAATTTTTCAAGTTTTTTCCTATTTCTTTATTTTCAGATTATAAAAAACCTCTTCGTTGAACATTTAAGACGGTATATTTTCAGATATATACCCGATCGCTAAAATGTAATCTGTCAATGGAATCATCTTTTGATAGAAGTAGAACTTCAGAAGAAATTCTGTCGATCAAATAATTTTAGAAGTTCTAATGTCTACAGAATTGATCTATATGATATCCTGCCTCCATATGACCTTTAGAATGTCTCTTATCAATACATGCTTTTAAGAAGATATTCTGTATATAGAAAAATATTGTTATAGAGGTATATGGTTATAGAAGGAGTTATCGGTATGTATAAATACATGCAAGTGTCGTTTCCCCAGAAGATATTCGGTATATCAGATATCTTTAGAATGCCTTCGGTCTGTATGGAATCCTTTTAAAATGTATTCAGCATAGAAGGTGTTACACCTATTAAACATAAACATTATAAAGTCTTTTTTTAGAATTTAGAATTTTATGCACACAACACCATTCTACAGAAGACATTTATTAGGTCTGTGGTCTAAAGGAATCCCCCAAAAAAGCATATGTCTATAGAATGCCATTGGAAAGCCTTTTACAAAGTATTCAGTCTAGAAATGACCATTACTTCATCATAAACAAATCATTTTAAAGATCTTCGACGTATTATAATCTCTTAAATATTCTATCTATGGAAGCCCTTTATTACTTCGGCCCAGACCGAATTTTAAGGACTTTCTGTCTATAGACGAATTGGAAAATGTGATATACACTCCAACCACGATGTTTGCTTAAAATCTAGCACTCATTTTTGTATATATATATATATATATATACAAAAACATTAATGATAAATATATCATCTCTTCAAATCAACTCTCTCAGATATATTGCATTTGTGCCCAAGATTAGTTTTATGGTTTTTAAATAACTTAAAAAATATTTACTTGCAATCTTGTTCTATCACATCAATCGTTTCATCACATTTTCACAGACTGAGACAGGTCTAGGGAATACGATGACTGTGTTGTTTTTGTATAAAATTTGGATATATAAACTATGCGTTAGCAGGGATCCGAGTCTATCATGATGCAAACGTAATTTTTAGTGTCCTTTTGTCTTTATCTTTCAAAATTTTAATACGAGTCTATAACACAAAACGACACGAGTTTTACTGATCCTTCCATCGTATTAAAATAATTCGATTACCACAACAACATAATTTCAATAATATTTTAAAATTCCGTTGTAAATGATACCAATCTACGTTTTTTTTTATCAAAAATATACATTTCACTTCTTTTTATTTTAAAACAAGTAAACTTTTCAAAAACTTATTTCTGATAAAAATCGTGTTTGTAATAATTATAATAGTAAATGCTTGATTTCAGGTAACTTCTATTGCTTCGTAGTGCCATATGTATGTCGTCTTTGATCGTTGATTTGTGTTGATTTTAATATTTTAATAACGAATGAACATCGACATCCAATTTCTTACGACCCTCAAGGAATGCTAATTCCATAACAACCAAACATTGTACAACTTCACCGCCAGCTTTGCGTACCAATTCCACAGCAGCACTTAGAGAACCACCGGTGGCCAACAGATCATCAATAATGAGAACTTTTTGTCCAGGTTTAATGGCAGTTTTTTGCATTTCAAAAATGTCCTGAAAAAAGATAGAGGCAATTTTATAAAAAAAATATCAATGTGAATTATAATAAGCAAGGTGTATACATATTTAAGTTTCGGGTGCAACAAGAAGCCAGCCCATTTATAAGTACAGTAGAAATTAATTTATTTTGTACGGAATTGACCATTTGTTCCTTACAACTAATTGAATAGAGTTCTTCTTTAAATACATTTATAATCAAACGTTAACGAAGTTACACAGACCACCAAACTTTAAAAATGTTTCCTCCACAAATATCTCTGGTTTATTATTCAACCTCGCAGGAAAAACATATGCCAACAGCAGTCTTATAATTTAAATCATGTTCAGTTTTATAATTGAAATCAAATGAAAAAGAGATTCCAATCGAAGCTGATACAAACTGCTATCATTATCAATATACTCGTCTTAGATTTCTAGATCTCATCGCATCTCCAAAAACACTCACCGAACCATATTCCAAAGTATATTCCACAGATACACATTCACCCGGCAACTTGCCCTTCTTACGTATGGGTGCACAACCGACTCCCAGTTCAGCGGCTAGCATCAAATTGAAAAGAAAACCACGAGATTCCAAGCCAACGATAATATCAATATTGGGATTGGTCTTACGCACGTGTTCCAGCAGCACTTCTTTTAAATACTGACAAGCTGTGGCATCAGTTAGAGCGCCAAAAATGTCCCTAAGAAAATAAAAAAGTTACGGAAAAACAACAATAACCAAGGGAACATCTTCACAACTTACCGGAAAAGTATGCCCTTTTTTGGGAAATCTGGATAGACACCAATATGTTGATTAATATATTCCAATTTTTGTTCACTGTTCATTGTGCTTATCTGTTGGATGTGCGTGTTTATTGGAAAGGAAAGATGCTGCCGCTCTTTGGGGTTGTTGTCTTCTTAATGATCACTGAGGCCACCAATTCTCACTGATAACACTTCTCAATGTCCAGTCGAAACGATTTGCAGGCGGTATCAGTAAAAAAGTCTCATCTGTTATCATAAAAAGACAACAAAAACAATTAAACATTTTACAGCAAATGGCAACGCTGTAAAACAGCTGTTCTGCTTTACACAGCTGATAAACATATGTTCATGGGAATCAAATGAAATAGCTCGTATTGACAGTTATGTACAGGGATGGCAGTTTTCAATTGTAAACATGAATGTATTGAAAGTACTGTACATATATAATAATGGAATAGAAAAAATTACATTGTTCAGCATAACTACCTGAAAATATGGAAAGTACTGTTTAGACAATTTATGAGAATAATATCAAATACCAACAACACTTTTAGACAATTCTTGCGTTTTTAGAAAACCTCTGTCAATTCGCTTAGATTCTCATACTATTGTTATAAATTATTATGAAATGTTTATCTTTTGTAATTAAATATTATATTTTCAAAAACGGGTTTCAAAGGTCGTTTACATTTAACAGGATTTGGTTAACCCAGTGGGTTTAAATTTTCAATTCCTTTGAATATATGCCAAATAAATCCTCATAAAGTAGGTTAACCCGGTAAAAAGTTATAATGTAAATATTTCAGATGGTATATTCGATATGAAAAATGCCCTTGTCAAATTTCTCAACCTATCTAATTATCTGTAATTGTAATAATAATAGGTATTTAATATTTTTCAGTGAATAAAAACACTTCAGACAATTTACCATGTCTCAGCCTACATATAGGGGTCCTGTTGTTCAGGTTTATGGGTGTACATACGTACGTTTTTCAGTCGTATTGGCTCTAATTTATTATTTTGGGTTCTTATTGAGTCTCAAATCATCTTACGAAAAATTATCAATATATATCCTCGTTTTGGTATGAACTCCATATATGGCATTCCATTATATGTTGACGTTGTTATAACCTTAATTGTGCCCAAATCTACGGGCTTTTCTAAAAAGCCTCTAACTTTCCGAATTTGCAGGAGGACTTTGGAGTATGTCTTTGTTATATATATAAACATTTATTCCCATTCGCTTTTGGCGATCTGTTGATGTTCGACGGAATGATGCCTTGGATTCCTTCTCGATAGCGCGGAAGTTGTCTCGGAGGTGGATCGGACATGTCTAGTCAATAACGCAGTATGTTGCTTGACTAATAGCATATTGGCCTCCTCATGAAGGTGATCGACGCTTGCTTCTAGCTTTCACCTTCTGTTGATGTATTCGGAGGATTTTTGAATTATGGACGGTGGGGATACGTTAACCTTCGATGGAAATTTGACAGTACAGTGGATAATTTAAGATTGAGAAGAAGCGGAAGAATTTGGCGATGGTGGCTACATGGCTGGACATTTGGAAATACATATTGAACAAATTCTCTCCTTCCACTCCTTGCGGTACTCTCTTGTTGATCTTGCGATATTTGAATTAAATTGATTGATTCCGTTGTCAATTTTGCTTGATGCATTATCATCTCGCTTGTTCATTATTTTGTTGGGGTCTCAGATAAGATGCGATTCTGAAATCCCGTTTAGAAACATGGGTCGAGATGTATTTATATTTTCGGCGCGAATCAATAGATAACGAAATGGAAATCCAACAACACGATGTTGTTGACGACACATACATATTTTTTTACATCCGATAATGTGGGTCAAATTTTCATAAAGGAATTCAAAATTATATCACCCAGTATATTGCTACTGCCATGTGATGTAGTCATTATGTAAATTAATTTATATAAAAATTCAAAAATCAAAAACTTTCTAATAAACAAACATACACAGACACACACAAACGCAATATAACAAATTCAAATTTTATTTTCAACAGCGATTCCATAATACTCAAAAGAATTCGTTCTCACACACGTACAGCGGCGAAACAAATTCGATATGACATGGAATTGTGGTTTAAATCGGTTTACGACTGATTCAATTGAAATCAAAAATAATAAAAAAAATTACTTAACAATTTAATAACCTGAGATTGAATAATTCAATTCGTAGAAGTTAAATGGCAACAAAAAAAAAAAAAAAAAAAAAAAACATAACTAACGGCTAACATAGAACAGCAAAAGGTTATGGTGCTACTCCAATTTGGTCATTTCGTTATGTTTTGTGTTTTTGTTGTTCTTTGTGGTTATGGTTTTTTGTTTTGTGTGCCATAAATCGGTTAATTTGTCTTCAAGAACACGACACCACCACATAATAATGATCATGAATTGAAATTGACTGACAGGCTGACTGACTAGTTGATTTTAGCCAAATGCTCTTAGCCATCATGGTGATGTGAGTTGAGATCATAGACAAGAACAGACAAACATTGAAAAGACATTAGCAGAGACAGGTGCTAAACGGCCAAGAAGAATATATAACCGCTCATGACAAAAAAATATCTAGGGAACAATAAACACGATGTGATGCTAGCGGAGTAGCTCATCGGTTTCAATTGGAGAGTCTGGTCTACGGTACGTTGTGAGAGAGGGCATGTGAGAATAAAATGTTTAACTCTCACTAACGAGGTACGGTGTGTAATTTAACGAAAATTGTATGAATTGGGGAAGCTAAACAAAAATAAAAATAACAAGTAAAAAAGCGTTAAGTTCGGCCGGGCCGAACTTTTGATACCCTCCACCATAGAAATACTGACAAATTTTTGAAATGAAAACATAGGGAATATACATATAACTACAATTCTTCCAATCGATTGTTTTAAAAGAAATAGAAAATTCAGCAATTTCAATTCCTAAAATCTCTAAACCCTAAAATGTTGACATATATTATTAACGCATGGTACATGTGTGTAAAATGCTGAAAATACTCCAATTTAGAGGGGAATATTATATATGAGGCATACTAAAGCGGGACCAATATTGACAACATTGTGTAGGAATTAGCAACTAATTGATGTTTTCATTATATAAGGGGTTAGGCCTAATTAAGGGCCGATGTAGCTCAAGTTCCAAGCTAATATTTTAGTTCTGAATCCCAATACCGTCCATCACGCTAAATATTAAATAGGTAGAATGTTTTATATAGGACCTGGTCCTAAATTCGGGTCGATACAGTTCATTCTCAAACCTCACGTTTTAGTTTTTATGTCGATATCCTCCGAGAGAAAAATTATTACAACATATGGCTAAATCGACTAAATCGTTTAAAAATTCCATAATATGAGGGGAATGAACTGAAAATTTCGTTTACCGAATATCCCCCTACTATTGTGGAATACAGCTATATGGGATAACCCCAACACCCGGAAAAAATCAGCTATTTTCAAAATAAAAAAGGGGGTTATAAGGGGACTACCCCTAAAAGTGGGTGAATATTAATAATTTTTGGTTGTGAGATTTGTTACCATATACGACTACAAAATACCAAATTACAGCGAATTCGGTTGAAAACTGTGCTCAAGAACCGCAAAATACCGAAAATTGGAGGGTAACCTTATATGGGGACTACCCGAAAAAATGGACCTATATTTATAATTTTTAGTGGAGAGATTTGCTTCGCAATAAGAACTCAATGTTCCAAATTTCAGTGAATTCGGTTGAAAAACGGACTCAAGAACCCCAAAATACCGAAAATTTGGGTACCCTTATATGAGGGCTACCTGGAAAAATTGACCTATATTTATAATTTTTTGTGGAGAGATTTGCTACCCAATAGGAACTCAAATTACTAAATTACAGTCAATTCGGTAAAAAAATCCGGTCAAAACCCCTCAAAAACTGGAAATTGGGAGGTATCCTTCAATGGGGGCTACCAGAAAAAGTGGACCTATATTTATAATTTTTAGTGGAGACATTTAGTACCCGATAAGAACCCGATGTACAAAATTTCAGCGAATTCGCGCTCAAGAACCCTAAAATACCGAAAATTGGGGGTACCCTTATATGGGGGCTAAACGAAAAAATTGACCTATATTTATAATTTTTAGTATAGAGATTTGCTACCCAATAAGAACTCAAAGTACCGAATTTCAATGAATTCGGTCGAAATATGTGATCAAACCCCCCAAAATACCGCAAAATTGGGGGTACCCTTATATGGGGGCTATCCCAAAATATGGACCTAAATTTATAATTTTTTGTGGAGACATTTAGTACCCAATACGAACCCAATGTAGCAAATTTCAGCGAATTCGGTTGAAAAACGCGCTCAAGAACCCCAAAATACCGAAAATTTTGGGGTACCCTTATATGGGAGCTATGCCTAAACGTGGACCGATATATCCCATCTTCGAACTTGACCTGCCTGCAGACAAAAGACGACTATGTGCAAAATTTTGACGATCTATCTCTATTCGTTTAGACGCTAGAGTGATTACAACAGACGGACAGACAGACGGGCATGCTTAGATCGTCTTAGAATTTTACGCTGATCAATTATATATATTTTATAGGGTCGGAAATGATTATTTCGATGAGTTACAAACGGAAAACCAAAATTAATATACCCTAAATACTATGGTGGAGGGTATAAAAAGCACCCTTATAAATGGTTATACGCGTGGATTTTTTCAGGGTTAAAGCCCTTCATTAAAAAAATTCTAGGTAGGAATATTTTGTGAAGTGTGATTTTTAATATATATTTTCAAGGATATAAACGTGGATTTTTAATGAATATTTTCCGGGCTACAAGCGTTTGTTTTTAAGGGATATTTTTAGGGTTATAAGCGTGGATTTTTAAAAGAATATTTCAGGGCTATAGCATAGATTTTTAAAGAATATTTTCAGGGCTATCAGCGTGGATTTTTTAAAGAATATTTTCATGGCTAAAGCGTGGATTTTTTAAAGAATGTTTTCATGGATATAAGCGTGGATTTTTTAAAGAATATTTTCATGGATATAAGTGTGGATTTTTTAAAGAATATTTTCACGACTATAAGCGTGGATTTTTTAAAGAATATTTTCATGACTATAAGCGTGGATTTTTTAAAGAATATTTTCACGACTATAAGCGTGAATTCTTAAATAATATTTTCACGACTATAAGCGTGAATTTTTTAAGGCATATTTTCACGACTATAAGCGTAGATTTTTTAAAGAATATTTTCACGACTATAAGCGTGAATTTTTTAAAGCCTATTTTCACGACTGTAAGCGTGGATTTTTTAAAGAATATTTTCACGAGTATAAGCGTGAATTTTTTTAATGCCTATTTTCACGACTATAAGCCTGGATTTTTTAAAGAATATTTTCACGACTATAAGCGTGGATTTTTTAAAGAATATTTTCACGTCTATAAGCGAGGATTTTTTAAAGAATATTTTCACGACTATAAGCGTGGATTTTTTAAAGAATATTTTCACGATTATAAGTGTGGATTTTTTAAAGAATATTTTCAGGCCAAATAGCGTGGATTTTTTAAAGAATATTTTCACGACTATAAACGTTGATTTTTAAAGAATATTTTCATGACTATAAGCGTGGATTTTTAAAGAATATTTTCACGACTATAAGCGTGGATTTTTTAAAGAATATTTTCACGACTATAAGCGTGGATTTTTTAAAGAATATTTTCACGATTATAAGCGTGGATTTTTTAAAGAATATTTTCACGATTATAAGTGTGGATTATAAGTGTGGATTTTTTAAAGAATATTTTCACGACTATAAACGTTGATTTTTAAAGAATATTTTCATGGCTATAAGCGTGGATTTTTAAAGAATATTTTCACGACTATAAGCGTGGATTTTTAAAGAATATTTTCACGACTATAAGCGTGGATTTTTAAAGAATATTTTCACGACTATAAGCGTGTATTTTTTAAAGAATATTTTCACGACTATAAGCGTGTATTTTTTAAAAAATATTTCTAGTTCCATAAGCGTTGATTATTTCCGAATATTTCTAGTCCTATAAGCGTTGATTATTTCCGAATATTTTCACGATTATAAGCGTGAATTTTTTAAAGAATATTTCTAGTCCTATAAGCGCGGATTTTTTAAAGCATATTTTCAGGTCTATGAAATTGGATTTTTTAAAGGATAGTTTCAGACCTATAAACTTGTAGTTTTTAAAGGATATTTTGGGGCCTATAAGCGTGAATTTTTTAAAGAATATTTCTAGTCCTATAAGCGTTGATTATTTACGAATATTTTCACGACTATAAGCGTGAATTATTTAAAAAATATTTCTAGTCCTATAAGAGCGGATTTTTTAAAGCATATTTTCAGGTCTATGAAAATGGATTTTTTAAAGGATAGTTTCAGACCGATACACTTGTAGTTTTTAAAGTATATTTTCAGATCTATAAACTTGGAGTTTTTAAATTATATTTTCAGATCTATAAACTTGGAGAATTTAAATGACATTTCCAAGCCTATTAGCGTTGATTTTTAAAGGATATTTTCAGGCCTATTTTCAATGTAAATTAATGAATATTTTCAGGCCTAAAAGAGAGTATTGTTAATGGATATGGATTTGTAATAGATATTTTCAGGGCTATAAGGTGGGTTGTTAATGAATATTTTCAGGGCTATAATCGTGTATTTTTAAGGTATATTTAGGCTTTTCACCGCGAAGTTTTTTTATTAATATTTTCAGTCCTATTACATTGGATTTGTTAATGAACATTTTCATGGCTATGTAATAAGCGAGGATTTTAGTGAATATTTCGATGTTATAAGCTCGGATTATTCATGATGGCTTTTCAAACATTTTCAAAAATAGAGACGTGGATTTGAAACGTGGATATAAAGTTTTTCAAACATTTTCGAAACTTTCATGGTACAGCCCCATATAAAAGAACTGGTCGATATTTAACAATAATTTTATATTCTATAAAATTAAAATTAACGGAACTTATTACTCTGCCCTCGTACACAAGATACATTTTCACCTGAAATCCTCTCATCTTCTCTATTGCGCTCTTCTAACTGAAACAAGCTCACCAGGTGTGAGTTGTTGAAGTTGTACTTCAGTTTAAGACGTGACGGTTTTAGTAACAGACGTGTTCTTCGCATGCGTTAAGGTAAACGAGTGGTGTAATAAAACAACAAAAAAGAAAAAAGCGGATATTAAAAAGAATTGTATTCATGAGACGAGAAAAAAGTGCTAATAAAATTCATGAAAAAACCTGATTATTGAATAAAAATTTTTGGAAGATACGAATTGTTATTATATAAATAGAATATTGAGTGATTGTTGTGAGAAATACACAAAACTGGGTTTGGCCTGGAAGCTACGAAGAAAAAAATTAAAAATCGAATATTATTGATTTATCTCAAAAAAGAAGTGTATGATAATATTGAAACCCGAAACCAGTAAAGAATATCTAAAGGTCACTTGTATTAACGGTTAACAAAAAGCGTGAGAAAGAAACCAGAAAAAAAGCGGTACAAAATATTTCCTCGTCATTTTGAAATCTGTTGATGTACAAAATTTTTTTAAAACTACGTTTTCTGTATGTGTTAAAATAGAAATTTATCTGTGATGCTGAATTTGAGTTTTTTTTTTGCTTTTTAAGAAATAGTCGAAAATAAAAAAAACGCCAATCAAGAAGCCAAAACCAGTCTTGAGTCAACCACACACAAAAAATAAAATAACAAGAAGAAAACGTTAACGGCCATACAAGAAGATCAGATCAGAGCAGGGCTGCTCCCCTCTCAGTGTGTAACATCATCAACAATTTTAGCCAGAAAGCAAAAGAAAAACAAAACAGCCACCAACATAAAGTGAGCATTGGGAGAGTAAGCGGTTCCAATGCGAATCGGCTAAAAAATTCGAAAACAAAGTGAAAAAAAAACAAACCCATCAACCTTCGCAGAATCTTACATCTTAACCAGTCTTGGTTTACACGTTTGTAGTAAAACCACTCTCAAAAAAGAGAGAGGGCCACAACAATGAAACAGAACCGAACATTACTGTCTGCCACCAATGTTGAGCCAGTCGGCCAGTCACTACTACTAGGCAAATACCAGAGTAGACCAGAAATGCAAGGAGAGTCAAGCCAAGTCTAGTTGGGCTATTGGTTGCACTTTTGCGTAAAGTTGTTTGTGAATGTTTGTGGCCAACCTGAGAATCGTGATCTAGTAAAAAAAATAAAAAAACAACAACAACAAGAAACATAAATATGAGACAAAGTCTCTGTATTATCGATATATTACAATGTCTAGAAAATGGGTTTTTTCATTGATTTCACTGACTAGCCAGGCGGCCGGGTATTGAATGTCAACACTAAATATTCCCCTCCCCAGCATTATCATTCCGACATACATATGTAGAAAACATCAATTTCACCCTCAACTTGTTGGATGCTCTACACGACTATTGCAAATGTTTTGATTCGATATCCGAAATGCCGACAATTGTCAATTTAGATGCAATGTGGGTTCGCTTCTACAGAGATTCAAGGCACATTTCGCGTTCTAATTGGAGAAGTATCATATCCAATTAATCCAAACTACATACATTAGGTTGGGGAAAATGAAATCCATTATTTTTATATGAACTAACATGCTTCGGAAAGTCCGATTTGTCCGAAATATGTACCGTTTTGTTGTATGATTTGTTGCCATTTTCATAATGCCTCTCTCATAGAAGCCCTGCTCTCTATTTGCAAAAAAAAAAACTCTAGTAGACGATTTTCGCTATCCTCCCTAGATACCAATTTTTTATCATTAAAGAAATTTAACAATGCAAGAAAAAGATGATAATCGATTGGTGCCAAGTCCGGACTGTATGGCGGATGCATTAAAACTTCCCATCCAAGCTCCCAACATTTCTGGCGAGTCACTGGCCGTTTCTGGTCACTTGTAAATGGTTTAAAACAGTTCTATGGTTGATGTTTAGCTGCTGGTCGAAGTTACGACTGCTAACAATGCCGGTCAACGTCGATCATTTCTCAATTTTATCGAAATTTTCGGCGACCGACCTAATGGACTTCTTTTTTGAAAAACTATTGTTATACCCTTCACCACACTGTGGTACAGGGTATTATGTATTTGTTTATATGTTTGTAACAGGCAAAAGGAAACGAGATAGACCCATAGTTCCTTTTGAGAATATGCATAGAATCACTTTCTGAGTCGATGTATGCATGTCCGCCCGTCTGTTGGTGTTAAATTGTAAACAAAGTACAGGTCGCATTTATAATCCGATTTGGATGAAATTTGGCACAGCTCATTTGTTTGGCCCAAGGACGAAACCTATTGAAATCGGTTCAGATTTAGATATAGCTCCCATATATATTTTCGTCCGATTTAAGGTAAATGGTGCACGATTTGCACGAAATTTGGTATAACGTTCTGAATTGAGCCTAGAATGATGTCTGTCAAGTTTTTTGAAAATCGGTCCAGATTTAGATGTAGCTCCCATATATAGTTTCGTCCGATTTCATGTAAATGGTGCAAAGTCCAAAGTCCCTATATATCATTCGACTTGCACGAAATTTGGCATAGCGTGCACCAATGTCCACATATATCTTTCGATTTACACGAAATTTGGCATAGCTTATTGAATTTAGTCCAGAATGAATTGGCATAGCGTACTGAATTGAGCCTAGAATGATGTCTGCCAAGTTTCGTAAAAATCGGTCAAGATGTAGATATAGCTCCCATACATATTTTCGTCCGATTTAATGTAAATGGTGCACCAATGTCCATATATATCTTTCGATTTACACGAAATTTGGCATAGCTTATTGAATTTAGTCCAGAATGATGTGTGCCAAGTTTCGTGAAAATCGGTTGAGATTTAGATATAGCTTCCTTATATTATAGATTGATTTTAAATAATTGACGCACCAAGGAACCAATATATGGCTGATAGGAACAAAACGTACTGAAATTAGTATAACCTAACTGAAATTAGTATAACCTAACCTAAGATCTGGGTAGATTCACATTTAGATAAATATCACATATTTTATTTCATCCAATTTCATGTTAATAGTCCTGTTTAATATACCCATAGTGGTGAAGGGTATCATATAGTCGGCCCGTCCGACTTTACTACTTTCCTTACTGGTTTTTAATTCCAAAAACTATGTTAGGTTATCTTCGGGACACATAAAATCTCTGGTCTTCGATGAATAACATTACATCTATCCGGTGAACACATTTTAATAACTGCACGGTAAACGGAAAATAAACTGATCACCTAAATTCGAAATTTTTCGGATCAATCCGCTTATTTCGTGTGTAGGACATAATATAATCGACGTCACCGACTACTTTTATTTTACAAGCTTACACAAATCACTAAAAAAAAAATTTGGACCCACGGAACAAACAGTTGTGTGCCATTCCTCAAGAGATAGAAAATAAATGAAAAAGGAAGACAAAACTAGCAATGAAAAAAATAAAAAAAATCACCACACATTAAAAACCCAACCAATATTGAAAATAAAAGAAAACAAACAAAAAATTCCAGATAAAAAGAAAGTTAAATTTTGAATTTCATCTTCGATACCATTTGTTGTTGTTTTTTTTTCTTATTAATTTTTTGTAAACAACAAGACAAATCATAATTTCAAAGTAAACGTGCGAAACAACAAACGACCTCACAGATACACGCTCGTACAATATCCACATCTCTCCAGCATTATTTGCTAAGAGACCCACACACACTCTCTCATTCAGGTTCACATATCGCCGTAGAATATACACAGGTAAATTTCTCAACATCCATTAAACAACGGCCGCCAACCATAACTTTGCACGTCCGCTGCAGAGAGTCAATAACGCAGTAACTGCATACCACAACAACAACAAGAATTTTTACAGCGAGACTTGTTTTTGTTCGGAACATTTTTTGTGGACCCTCAAATATTACACCGCACATTGAACGTAGCATTTTTTGAAAGGTTCTTCCTTCCCATCTTACCTGTTTTCCGCATCACCAATCAATTGACCATATTCACAATTCGCTTACCAGTTATTTTGTTTGTTTTTTTCTTTTTGGCTTCTTCATCCACAATTTGTAAACCATATACGCGTATATCTGTTTGTTGTTGTTGTATTGCCAAATAGCAGAAAGGAAGGAAGAAAGGTAAGCATTTTTCTTATTCTTTTTTTACTTACATTTCCAAGCGGAAGTAAAAGAACAGGCATTCTAAAAAATGTCTTAAATGGTGAATAAAAAGTAACTGTTGCCTCAGTTGGTGACCCTTGGTGTGTAAATGCTTCGAATTGTAATATGTAGTCAGACATTCGGACTTCATATGTAAATCGGACCATCTAAGCTTGTCATATTACTTTTCTTTGAGAACACAGTTTCTCTTCTTCTATGAGAGGACCTTATCGTCACCTATAATACGCGATTCCGTGTACTACGAAAAGAGTTGCTCCTCTGCTATGAAAAGAGGTATTCTTCATCTATGAGAAAAGTTTCTCCTTTTCTATGACAAACTATTATCCATTTCTGTGGGAAATCTTCACAATTTCTGTGAAAGAACAGATCCCTTTTCTATGAGAACAGTGGGTCCTTTCTAGAAGAGCTTTACCTCTTCCATGAGGAGAGCTTGGCCTCTTCTATTACAAGAGTTCGCCCTCTTTCATGAGAAGTGTTCACCCTTTTCTATGAGAAAAGATCATTCTATTCTACGAGAAAAGCTCGTCCTCTTCTCTATAAGAAGAGCTAGTTTTCTCCTTTATGAGAAGAGGTTGTTCTCTTCTATGAGAAGAGTTCGTCTTCTCCTATGAGAAGAACTCGTAATCTTCTATGAGAAAAGCTCGCACTCGTTTATGAGAAGAGTTTGTCCTCCTCTATGAGAAAAGCTCGCCCTCTATTATGAGAAGAGCTCGCCCTCTTCTATGTATAGATTAGTGGTGTGCAAAATAAAGTAAAGAGTAAATGCTCAGAGAGTAAAAGGAAACCGCCATAGGAATTGACTTAGTAAAAGAGAACGCAGAGAACGACGTTATTGATACATGTAAACAAGGGCACCAGTTACCATGCCTGCCTAGCATTAGTATAGATCTCGTCTTCTTCTATGAGAAGATCTCGCCCTTTTCTACAAATAGATCTCGT